ATGATTAATAAAAAAAGTCATACCTAGTAATGTGCAATAAATGAGTGATTAAGCTATAAAGAAGAAGAACAAGACTGATATCCTGTTGTAAAATCTGTCATAAAGACCTTTACCATCCTCCTTTATGCTCAGTCCGATTTTATGAAGTGAACAAATTGAGTGCATTAATCGCTTACATCACTTATCTTGGAAGTTTTATTAGAGGCTTGATGAAATAGTTGTTGATGTAATATTGAAATAGATAAAGTTACTAAACGTTTGCTTGACCTTTTTACAAAGAACTTTCACCTATACTTAACGAAAGATATCTGTCTATCTACTCAGAAACGACTATAATGACCAGTAATTCATTTTGTTTTACTTTACGGCTTTGAATAATGGGAGAAAAAGCTTGTAAATTGTATTTCAATACTTCAAGTGTATGGCAGAATCAGAATTAGAATAAAGCTAAATAATGCGTTTTAAATGTAGATGGTTAGGTCATGCATAACTTTTGTCTAGTTATCATTTATCACAATGCAATATTCTAGTTGTAATAGGATTAAACTGTAAAAGAGATAACGTTGGTTAAATTATTAAGAGATGAGATCAGTTCATGGAATTATTATTAAGCTAAACGGCTTCGAAAATTACAGTTTCTGTGTTCAGTGTTCTCATGGTAACTAGATTTTATGATTTGATCAATAAAAAGAAAATAAACCATACCATTTCAAAGAATACATTAATGTGAACTATAAAACAATGAATGGTAAATTGAGAAAGAGAAGTGTATAAAGTTCCATTCTTTGTAAAATAATTACATATTTCATTGAAATCATGAACGATATAAATTAGACTACTATTGAAAACTTGGAAGCACTGGATGAATATTTTGTCCTAGTATGGAACTCCTCGAACTCATGACCTTTAGTCTCGCGCATAAACGTTTGACCATTGAGCCGGCATCCAACAGTGATTTATTTGGCGCATATATATTCGGTACTATATTTGTATCAACATTTATGTGTTCAAATAAATAAATAAATTCAGGGTATGACTAACTTTCTGTGAAACCGAAATGTATATATAACTAACCAATCACTGAGTAATGACCAATGTCATGTTTGTCAAGAGATTTTTAATGCTGATCAGACTGTCCTAACGTAGTCGCAATGTGCCCACTAGTTTAAGTGACTCAAAATTATGCTCACTATTTTGAGGTGTTATATTGTTGGAGTATAAGAGAATATTTTGTTCTCTGAAGAAGTGGCTTACACTAAGTCACGAAACGTCAGAAAATCTAATTTTTCTACTCATTGGGATATTTACAAATATATTAATTTATTAATAACAATCTACCCAAAGATCAATTTATTCGAAATTATCAAGTCAAACCTTGGTAATGATACCCAGAAACATGAAACATAATAAAATTGAACAATTTTTATTCATCTATTCTAACTACTCACAATGATACTTTAGCGTGAGACACAGAGAGATTATTTTTATAATCGAACTGAAGATATGTAATTGTCCTATACATGACTCCTTCTCACGCAAACATAGGTACAACAAGGCATGAAATACATATGAGCCACATAAATCATCCGATTTGTGTGAGGCCTGGGATACTGCCCGGATGCTCGGAACGAAACAGGTGGTTTTCTTAGGGGGCCACATCCAGATCCTTCGACCTAAAGGTCTAATCCACAAGGCAGTGAGCAACATCAGGAGATGCAGTATCATGGTAACCTGTGACCAACAATCGTACATACGGTGTTTGTTCTCTCAGGATACTGGATCCAGCCCATGTGCATCATTGGTTTGGAATTTGGGTTTTCCGATTCCCTAAGTGGATCCTTCATATCCACAAACCCGGTTAAGGCACCGAATATTTGCTTTTCGTCCTCTCAATTTTGTGAACAACAGTAATGTCGCGAGAAAACAGTGAGCAGGACTTCCCTGGCAGTGGTTTTATGAACGTGGCCATGCGAGAGCATTTGGAGAAGGAGAGTTGATTCTCCCCATTCTTGGACAAAACAGGAGATTTGGGGCAACTGCTTCTCAAACGATAATATATACATGTATCTTATCAAGTGTCAGCGTTCTTGAAAACATAAAGAATGTCTATAAATCTGTTTGATGAATTAGAATTATGATTTACAGTTGATGATTAAGGTTAGAAATCAGATTTGGGGGGGGGTCATCACAAACTGACATAAGCTATAATGCCAAGACTCTATTTAGCCGAACGGACGAGTGAATTTCGCGCCAAAATCCGAGATCTGTTATCTTATACCCGATTGGTTCGTCCATAAATTATAGTCTCACCACAATTTCTTCACTGACAATAAGTAGGTTGCTTTTTTTCTTCAAATTTAATGTCAGCACTTTATTGCATCATGTTGTACAATCCCTTTCCATAAGTAATGTTATTCAATCTACGTTTACAACACTTTTAAGTCAATGATTATTTCGTTATCAGAAGAGGGTTTTGTGAAGAATTCAGTAAATTTAATAGTGGAATTCATGAGTCAATTAAAGCTAGACCACAATGGGAAACTTGAAATCACTGGATGGCCGTTTCATCCTAGTATGGGACTCTCCTCAGCAGTGAGCATCCATAAATCCACCCGGGGAGATTCGAACCCAGGGCCTATTGGTCTCACACGCGAACGCTTAACCTGTAGACTACTGAGCCAGCATTGAACGGTGTTAAAGTTGTTAAAAAAAGAACATTTCACGAAGCCACTTGTGTTTCTATAATTAATGAAGTTTTAAATGTCAAGTTAAAAACACACATCTCATTAAATAGTTGTGGATAATGAATTCCAAATCGATGAAGTAATATTCTATCAGTAACTTGAGGTTAAGGTCATCGTGTTAAATGAAATGAATGTTTTATGCAAAATGTTAAGAGAGAAGATTTACAAGGATATTAGAGTTTAAAAGTTATAAATGATTTGATCAATTTGATTAAGGATTAAATGACCTTATTAGGAGGTCAAGATAGGGAAAACAGGTTAAATATAGTTGTTCTTCAATCAAGGTCAAGAAGTCACTTCGAATAAGTGTTAATAGCTTTAGTTATATAAACAAAAAAAAACCGGGCGATGACCTTGCAAAGAAGAATATACAAATGAAATAAGAGTTTTGGTCATGGATAGTATTCAATATCAGCATAATGTATATGGCTAATTGTCGAAATAGACCTGATATTAATATGGATATTCTTGATTTGTTATAATTTAAATAAATATATGCATTGGTTCAAGTCGCCATACCTCAATGGCACAGCAACATGAACACCGGATTCATAGAAGTAGTCACTTCAATGGTAGTAATATATAAAAGAAAGATTGCATATAAGGATATAGTACAGGAAGAAAAAAGAAAGATATGAAGCGAATTTAATCTCTTGGTTTAAGGGAAGACAGAGAGTGTATACATCGATGCCATTGTGATCGATTCTCTGCCATGTCCCTGAGCCTCCAACCATTGGTTACAACAGTCACGCGGACCTCAACCAAGTAGTCTGCATCTATCGATATGGTTAAGAATACAAGTTAGTAACTTCAAGGACTGATGCCATGTTTTGGTTTGGCCACCTCTAACTTTCTTCCATTCGTCTCCAACACTAGTCATCAATGGGCGTCTAAATGAATGATAACTTTCAAGAATTATTTCTGGACTATTATTGTACATATATTCTTATTGTATAGCAATTACGTAACTAGATTATTTATGCTTATATTTCTTTTATCACAAGTTTTCATTTCATCAGTTAGCTACTGTTATACGATTTACTATTCTAAATTTATTCCCAATCTATTAGTTACTGTATGCCTGTTATGACTTTAAATTGGGTTGATTTTTACCCTGTGCTAATTGTTGTGTCCTTGACTGGAAAATTAGAGAGCAGCGTACTTATCGATCGATTACAGTGACACGTAAACACGTACGGACGGCCTAGAGTTTCGATTGGTCTCGCTTCCTTGTCTAGCCCAGTCAGTTGAGTCCAGAACACAAGTCCCAACCTCTGAGATATGAATCATTATATTTCAAACATACTTTGTTTATATACCAATCAAGCATACCACATCGTACCATAAAATAGAAAACAACATTTTGTACAATATTCAACAAGTGAACAGATACCGACCAATAGGAAATGTCCATTTAGAGTCCAAGGACACCATTGGACTTAACATGATAATTATTGGTCTATTCCTCTGCATCCACAACAATGCCTTAATCACATCCACTTTTGACTTGATCTTGTATAACTATTATTTTTTTCATTTTATGGTTTGATGCGGTCTGGTCTGCTTGGTATATAAACTACGTATGTCTGAAGTGTATTATTCATATAGTGAAGGCGGATATTGTGTTCTGAATTCAATGAACAGAGCAGACGGAGGAGCTATTGAATCGAGAACCTATAAAGATTTAAAGTTGACGCAAGGTTGCTAGTGCTGATAGACGTGTCATTGGTTTAGCACAGAGATAAGTTCATAGCAGTCGATATGTTGTTTAACGACTTTTTCACATGATATTTGAGAGGAATATGAGTTATGATCATCAACTTAGCACCCGATACGAATGTCGGTTCAATTAGCCACGGGAAAACAAGAAGTTCACAAGTGGAGAAACTTATGAAATTCTACACACAAAAAATGCAGTTTGGAAGGAACAAATATAATGAAGGAATAATAGACAAGGAACTATACCAAACTCAAGACTGAGTAACAGAAAGACAATGAATATGGCTTTATTAATGGTAATGATTTTGCATCATAACACTAAGCAGTCTAATAGATTTATTCTTGATGTTATTGTAAATTAAGAAAAGAGAAATCACTTCGCTTACCAAATAATTGACTGTTGTGTACTATTTAACGGGTTTGAAGAGTTCATCTGTTGTTGTTCAACTTGATCTTCTGTGAAAATTTCCCAACTGGGTAGACCTATCGGTCTGGATGATGCAGGGACTGTTGTAGTTGTACTTAACTGAGAACAAAAATCGACAAGAAAAAAAGTGTAACTACACAGGTAATATTTCAGTTCAGTGATGAAAACAAGTTAGAATGAACAGATAGAATGTTAGATAATTAACAATGGTCGACAATAGTATCTTCGATTATATGAATCTGTGATTGTTAAACACTTGGACCCATACCATTTAATGTAAATTAAGGATTTATTTAATATAATTAAACCTCAAATAAGCAATTTGGCTAACAAATGAGTATATATAAAGGTTTCCTACTAAATAGTTAATCAATTCATGCGTTGTAATGCTTCGTTCTCTAACCTGTGTAAAAATCAGCACAAACTTCATAATAGAAGTCATTAGGATTTATCCATATATGGATAATAGAATGTCTTATCGATCTTGATCCTGACTAAATGTTGTTGACATTTATTCTGTAAATAACCAATCAAGACTAAGATAGATCAAACAAACTCTCAGTTATAAAGGAAAAAGTTCTACTGGTTTACTATCAACTGAATTTTATGCTGATGATGCTATCGAAAATGACAATGAAAGTTTCAAAGTTAAACTACTTCGTTTAAAGAACTTAAATCCATCTAAATCATCCACTTGAACTAGGAATCTTTCCCAACATTCCAAAATACAAAGCAATAACATTTAAACTTAGTTAATCCCTCCTTAGTTACTGAATAGAAAAGTTAGATACGATATTTATGAAATATGTTTTCGTATATCGGCTATGAACCAAACTTTCTCGTTTGAAGGTTAATAGTATTATGTAGCTCCCTGAAGAACCGATACACGTGTAGTGCGGGGGGGGGACATGAATTAGAGAATATCTGGTTAAAACTCGAAAATCTTAACCAGTAATTTATTGCTCCTCAACAAAATATCGCTACAGTTGCTTATTTACAGTTTCGAGGACTAGATTACAGAATTATTGACAGTAGTAATCAATATTGTAGAATAAAGTGACGTTGTGATATTGTGTAAATGTTATGTCCCGATAAGAATAATGAATGGTAACTTTTTGGGATCCACTTATGGATCAATAATATATGTACATTTTTATCGTATAATTGTTAAATAACTAAACTATTCATATTCGTGTTCCCCTTATTATGAGCTTTATTTTGACCTATGAACTATTATTATACGATTTACCATTCTTAAATTAGGCCCTGTCTATTTATCACTACCTAAAACATTCACAGCCATATTTGGCCCATCTTGTACAAATACTGTTTCCAATTGTATGGTACGATGTGGTCTGTTTGGTTGGTGTATATAAACCCCACTATATTTGAAATCAATGATTCATATGGCAGAGACTGAGATTGATGTTCTGGACTTAACTGGTTGGGTTAGGCAGTAAACAGGATCGATAGACTCTAGACTGCTCGCACGGGTTTTACGCGTCATTGATCCGAACGACAATTCACTGTTCTCTAATTGGCGGTATCGTTACCTTATACACTAACAGGGCACACAGGCCATAAGTTATAACAGTAAACAATTTGATTACTTAATGAACAAATACTTATCTAGCTTATTTCGATATCCAATTTGAATACCGACGACTGTAGTTAATGAATCGGTATTGTCTATCTGTGGATCTGTAAGGAGTATTTAATTTACCGTTAACTGTCTTAACAGCTTTACAAACTGCACATACTACTACTAGAAGATGTCATCATGAGAAAAGTAGAAATTTGAAGGTAGTTATAACCAAATAATTACAGCATTGAACCGGTTTGTTTTTCTAAAACTATTTGTCACAACTAAAAGAAAAAGTTGTACGCCAATGAAAGAAAAATATTCATCTACCTGTGAAAAAAAGACTAATTACACTAGCCAACACGTTATTATTTATCGATCTACGTTTATGATAATAGAAAACAGACCTATGTCGTAATTATTAGATCGCATGTTGATCTAGTTATATAGATAATAGATCAGAATAGTACATAGTATAGATTTGAGGCACAATGATAGTCAGTCCATCAATCAGCAACAATGCAGAACCAGACAAGTATGTGCATCAATCCACCTGCCACACCTCATTAGCAAAACAATATGAACACCAAATTCATAGAAGTAGTTACTTCAATGGTAGTAATATATAAAAGAAAGAATGTGTATAAGGACATAGTGCAAAAGAAAGAATCAGTTAGTAGAAAGATATATAGCAATTTTAATCTCACAGTTTAAAGGAAAAACAAACAGTGTATACACTTACACCATTGTGATCGATTCTCAGCCATTTCACGTACAGTCTCCAACCACTGATTATAATAGTCACATGGACAACAATCAAATAGTCTGCATCTCCCAACATGGCTCACAGTAGAAGTTAGTGACTTCAAGGACTGATAACACGTTTTGGTTTGGCCACCTCTAATTTTCTTACAACCATCCCCAACGCTAGTCAGCATTGAGCGTCGTGGTAACCATTGTTCAGGTATACGTAACACGTGGCTCAACAATTTCAGTCTGTGAAGATTTACAACCTCGTCAACTCATTTACTAACATTCCCTAATACCCTGCATCTAACCTCACTACCACACACCTGGTGATCCCAGTAGATGTGAGCAATATTTCTAAGACATCTGTGATCAAATATTAATAGCTTATGAGTGTGTTCTACTCTTAATGGCCACATTTTGCAGCCGTAAACTAGAACAGAACGAACTGCCGCACAATATACTCGTCCCTTAATAGATAGATGGATATTCGCCTTCGTCATAGTTGATGTAAGCTCGGAAAAGCCAAACCAGCTTATTGAATCCGTACTGAGATTTTGTTAGACACCAACCCATTCGGACTGATCAGACTTCAAAGATAGGTGAAGTTGTCAACGTGTTCGACTATTTCACACTCTATCCTTAGTTCAGGTGTGACTCAGACCAGTCCTGGAACAACAACTCGTATTTCCAATGGGAGAAGAGCATTCTATACATTCTGCCATTGTTGCTCAATACTAGCAAAAAGATTGTGTTTTTTGTCAGCTTCTACACTAAACAGGACTATATCATCTGCACATTGATATAAATATATTAAACAAATAAATACATTGCCATTTCTTCTTAAGTATACATTTCCATGAAACAAATCTATTCTTTTTCCATAATCATTCATATCAAATGTACCAAATGCAGATATTCATAGAATATTAACAATACTACTAATAAGTAGCTTAAATGAATTATTGAAAGAAAAAGAAAAAAAACAGCAGACATTGAACATCATGTTTGTTTCTTCTTGGTTGATAGGGTGTGTTATTGATAAGAAAAAGAATAATTAATAAACAATAAAATAATAATAAGAATATATGAATTATAAAATATGAAGTTTGCTTCCATTATTTTATAAACACAATAGCACAAAGATACATTATTATAACAATAATGACCTTAAATATAACCATATGGTATTATTGAAGAACAAATATCTTCCATGACTATTAAAAGGCAAATCAATGATGCATATTAAATAGCATTATTGTAAAGAGAATTAAAAGGTGAAATAATGGGCGAAAGAATTGATCAATTTTTTTATGAAAGTATACTCACTTAATGCGGAATGAGTTATGTTAAAGTTGATGATTTGCATGGATTGTAGATGACATCATAAACAAATATTACTGTTATTTATATTTTTTTTGGGGGGGGTGTTGATAGATTTTCGTCAGTAGTGAAATCTATAATGAATGTTTCGTTGTATTCAGGATTAGTCATTTGGATTTATCAGCATTAAAGTGTAAACCCAATATCATTCATATTAATCGCTAATGAATGATTTAGAGAGCTACTGAACTCAGTTAATCATATGATGTTTATATTGTTATTATAAGTAAAACACTTTGTTTATCACAGAATTTCAATAGTTGAGATCATGAGTCAATTGAAGTTAGATCACCATGGAAAACCTGGAAGCACTGGATGGCCATTTCATCCTATTGTAGGACTCCCACAGTAGTGCGCATTCACGATCTGGCTTAGCGAGACTCGAACCTAGAACCTATCGATCTCGCGCACATTAGGCTTTGAACAGTAACAGAAAGATAATTTATTGATTCTTTTTTTTATAAGCTTAATTAGAAGAAAGTTATGGACAAATTGACAGTTCAATATGGGTTTCCACTGAAAGTCAATCAAATAATCTGTCCAATAAACTTCATAAATTACTTATATATTCAAATAACAGTAATGATAAAATATGGATAGTGTTATATCCTAGCGAAGATTAAATCACGAGTAACTTCTGAGCCAAATTAATCGACTAATATTATCTATATATTCCAAAGGTATAACTATCCAGTAATTAGATTGTGTATATCTATATTCCTCTTATTATAAACTTCATTTTGACTTATGGATTATTATTGTACGACTCACAGTTGTTGCGTTACGCCCAGTCTATTAATTACAATCTCCCACGTTCACAGCCACTTTTTGGCTTTATTGCGTATAAATGTTATCTCCTATTTTATGGTGCGTTGCGGTCTGTTTGGTTGATATATAAACCCAGTATGTCTGAAATAAATTATTCGCATGGTGGATGCTGGTATCGGTGTTCTGGACTTAAGTGGACGGGCTAGGAGAACATAGGACCAATAAGGACGCTAGGCTGCTCATACCGGTCGGACGTCATTGGTTTTGGCATTGTGTGAATATTGTATAAATCGTATTTCGATTGACAGATAAGTCACGTGATAACAAGCCGGATATAAAGTCATAACAGATAGAAAGAGATTAATTCAGATATCATCATATAACTTAATCCGATAATGAAGAAAACATTCCTATTGAGATGGTAGAGAAGATTTGTAGCTCAAGTGGATAAGCTCCAGCTCAGGGAACAAAATTCCATCAAAAACATTCCCATTATTAAGAATTCACTATTTATGCTACAATATGACTTAAATAATTTTACCGGTTAGTGAAATCATATGTTAAAATGTTAACAGCCAAAAATGATTTCTTAAAAAAAATTCACTTAAAATGTAGAAAAAGTAATTTGACAAATCCATTTTCTCCGGAAGTTTCTAAGGTCACTGAATAAAGCGTTCACAAAAGAAAAAAACTTATAGAACAATGTATTAGTGGTTAAGGTGATCAACTTTTAGTTACTAAGTACCACATTCTAATCCCATCGCATCTACTTCGATTAAGGTGACTAGATAGTATCGTTAGCCCTTAACACTTAGAGTGTGGCTTATACACGGTGAAGGAGTTAAACTAAATTTTTGAAAAATCGATTAATTGGTTACTACAACTTTATTGGCCTTAAATTCCCTGGTACGGCCGAGAGTGGAGAGAGCCAGCTCTCCCTCGAAAAATGCACCCACATGGCCACGTGCATACAACCACTGCCAGTGAGGTCCTACTCACTACCTGATCATAGTCAAGGCGTTATTTAAGAAATTCAGAGGACGAAAAGCGAATGTCACGTGCTTTATTAAGGTTGTTGGTTATGAAGAGGAGATTGAAAAACCTTGATTCCAAATAAATGGTGCAGATAGTCTCCAGGATCCTGCGGGAACAATTGGCGTATGAACCAATCATTGGTCACCAGCTACCATGGGACTGAATCTCCTTACGTTGCTCCACTGCTTTGTGAATTACACCTTTAAGTCAAAGGCTCGAGGTGCGAGCCCCTAAGAAAACCATCTGTTTCGGTTTGAGCACCCGGGTAGTATCATTGCCCACACACAAATTGAATGATTTATGTAGCGCATATCTGTTTGGTGTCTCGTTGTACCAATGTTTATGGGTTGATGTATATATTCGTTAAATTTTAGCTTTATCGAATGGATGTGCCAATGAGTTCGTCCAAATCAGCACAAAACTTGGAACATTTATGGATTTGCCAAATCAGCTCGAAGTGATGAATTTAAAAAGATGAATAGTAAAGAAATCTAAATAATACAGAAGTAACGATAATGAGATAGATTTAAAATTGAGAATATCATTGAAAAGGCAAGATGAAAAAGTTTATACGAAGGAATATTGAAAGACAAGACGAAAGTCGAGTGAATGTATCTATTTCATACACATAGTTCCCTTTATCATTTTGAAAAGAGCAAGAACAAAGATTCTAGCAGAATAGCATGAATTCATTTTATTTCGTAGGTTCTCGTCAGCTGCTTACAACCTATGATATTTGAAAATCATAATTACATAATGGGTTTAAATTGTTAACTGAATATTGTAAATATATACCTAATGTGAGAGAATATTCTACAACATTAATTGTGACAACAGTTCAAAAGTGGGTTAGAAACAATCGATTACATAATGAATAACATTGAAGGAATGTAGTGAGTAGAGTTCAGTTGAAAGTTATTAATTTCAACTGAACTCTACTCACTACATTCCTTCAATGTTATTCATTATGTAATCGATTGTTTCTAACCCACTTTTGAACTGTTGTCACAATTAATGTTGTAGAATATTCTCTCACATTAGGTATATATTTACAATATTCAGTTAACAATTTAAACCCATTATGTAATTATGATTTTCAAATATCACAGGTTGTAAGCAGCTGACGAGAACCTACGAAATAAAATGAATTCATGCTATTCTGCTAGAATCTTTGTTCTTGCTCTTTTCAGAATGTATCTATGTTATTATAACCAATTTTGAGTCATATCAAGAGAATCTCTTAACTAGTGATCGTCGTTATTACACAAACCTCAACCACGTAGTCAACATCTATCAATACAATACAAGCTAACAGTTAATGACTTTATGGATTGATGCCAAGTTTTGTTTTTATCACTTTTATCAACTTTCTTCCAATTGACTGTTACACCAGCTAACATTGTCTATTGAGGCAGGCAACGGTTCAAGAACTTGTCTACAATATTTCTAAAGATTATGATTATAAATGTATAAATTAGAACACACACAAAAAAATTAACCTGTGCTTTATTCCATGAACTAGGTTCCAATTGATTTTCTTTTTGCCATGATGAAGGTATTCCAACAGGTCGTATAAAATCTGATGTGATCGGTGGTAGATCACGTATTAATACAGAATTTTCTTGAGATAATTTATCTTGTTTAATTTGATAATTACATTTATTAGAAATAAAACTTTCCGATGAACGAATAGTTCCCAAACCTGAGTGATTCGCTTTTTGTATAAAAAAAAGAAGATATAAAGTTGAAGTAATTAAGATCATTTATTGAAATCAATAATTATTTCAATAATCAAAATGATCTATGAATAGGAAGATACAAAGTGAATATTCAAACTTCACTCTATTGCACAAGTAAGTGGCTATCAGGATTTAGTAGCTAAGTTGATAAAGCGATGGTGTTTGAAGCAAGCGGTACTGAGTTCGAGTCCCAGAGTGAACATCAACTTTGAGGTGATGATGTCAAAAATAGGATGAAACGCTCGTTAAATTGGATTCCACTGTTAGCCACTATCCATCTTTGCCTATAATGCTTGTGAATTAAGGCAATATCAAGGCAATAAGCATAGTATGCACATATATATGCCAATACGTGACTGATCAATTCCAGTCCTAAATAACAATGGGAAGATACAAGTAAACAACATCAAATGAATTTGGAACTAGCAATAGTTCATAATGTCAGCCGACAGTGGTTTGTTTGCAATAACGGATATTTCTTTAGTGATGTTGCATTCATCAAGATAGATAGATTAATTCTGAAGTATTTATTGTGGTATCCCAGAAAACATTATCAGAGTCTGTTCTTTAGGTTGGTTCACAAGTTCCACAATTATAAACCATTCACATTATAAAGAATCCAACATCAAACAGAAGGTTTAAAAATAAATGAGGCTATTCACCATGGAAAAATAGTGATTTCACTAACAATAGTGATAATAACGATATGAGCCAAACAACAAGAACCCTGAGTCTTAGAGTTAGATATTAGTTGGCTCCCATCAGCAAGACATATCGGTGACCTAGAGGAAACTAGTGTTTCTTGTGAGATTACAACCCACAGCATTTAAATGTTACAATCAACGCTGAAAGTAAATCATTCCGTTTACGAATGAACTTTGATTGTAAGGATTAAAATTTTAAACCAAGTGATTCAGTGTTACTATTTATTACTCTATGCAGACTTGAAAATTCAGTTACTAATACAAAGAAGAGGTGAGTTATATCATGTACACATTCACGATTTTATGATAATTTGCTACTGATAGTAGTTAATCTAGTTCTACAGTAAGATAAATCGTCGTGTTTCAATCATCCTTTATGACATTTATTATGTTGCAACTACTCAAGATAAATTTTAGACGAGAAGTAGTTGATTTTCAGCTCATTACTAATAATAGATAGACATGAAACTGCCCCCAAACGCCCTGGTAGGGCCGAGAGTGGGGTGGACCCTCTTTCCCTCTCGAAATGCCCTCACATGGCCACGCGAATACAGCCTCTGCCAGGGAAGTCCAACTCACTGCCTTCTCGCACCGTGGGTGTTGTTCACGAAATTGAGAGGATGAAAAGCGAATGTCCGTCGCTTTCGCCGGATTCCAAACCAATGGTCCACATGGGCTCCAGTATCCTGAGGGAACAAATGACGTATGAACCAAGTGTTGGTCACCGGCTGCTATGGGACCGCATCTCCTCACGACATTCCATTGCCTTGTGGGTCAGATCTTTAGGTCCAAGGCTTGGGAAGTGGCCCCCTGAGGAAACCACCTGCTTCTATCTGGGCACCCGAGCAGTATCACAGCCCATACACACATATATGGTGTGGCGCATATATATTTGGTGCCCTCTCGTACCAATATTAATGTGTTCAAATAAAATAAAATAAAAATCATCATCAGGAAAAAAGAGAACTAAGAAAACATGAAAAGATTTAGTCAAGCAATTGACAAACTTGTACATGATAATAAAGGTAGTAAAAACTATAAATCATTCCTACTTACAACGCCACATTTCTTTGGTTCTTATTACTGGAGCAACTAAATTATTCTCTTGTGTACTAGTTTCAATTAAACGTAATGAGGCTAATTTCTTTCTTGTATTTTCATTGTTAGTTTCATTATAAGAATTATAAGATGTGAATGTGCCAACAATATCAGATGATGATGATGTAACAGTAGACTTTAAAGAATGTTCGTATCTCTGGAAAAACGCCCTAGAAATAAAAGAAATAGTATGATAAATATAAAGTGTTTTTGAAATAAAAACCTATGTGAATCAATATTCAGTACAAGATTTACATCAAGAATTGACTTTAGACAACCGTTCAGGAACCATGAAGCATCAAACAGCTGTTTCATCTCTACAGTGCCCACCTATGACATCACCAGGGATCATGAACCGATTGATGTTAGACCACCACCTTTGGAAGCCTGGATGGCCGTTTCGTCCCATTGCGGTACTCCTCAGCAGCGCGCATCGACGATCCCGCTCGCGGGACTCGAGCCCAGGGCCTTCGGTCTCGCGCGCGAACGCTTAACCAACTGCACCACTAAGCCGGCATCCAATGGTGATAGTGTTTAACATCAACCAATCCACGAAATTGCGCGACCAACTTCCGTGGTACTGAGGTAGATACCTGTCTCTACCCGATATGGATAATTGTTGACAGTAATCCTCCGGTAAAGTGGTTATAATAAAATGCAGAGATGAATAAAAATTGACCGATAACTTTTGTGAAACGAAACTCTCCTGAAAACATATGAAAACTGACAAATCATATTTTACAAGTACCTTTAAATGTAATAATCAATTTAACTGTTGATACCAAAGCACATACATTGGAAAAAAGAGAGGGAGGAAAATGTTCGTATTTCTGGTCAAGGATGAATTTTACCACCAGCTAACTGCTCATCTACAGGAAGTGAGTTTGATAAATATTGTCATACTAGTTGTTGTGACTTTAGCTTGAGTCGATTTATACCCTGTGCTAATTGTTGTGTCCTTGACTGAAAGATTAGAGAGCAGTGTATTATCGACCGGATCAGTGACATGTAAAACATGTACAAACGACCTAGAGTCTCGATTGGTCCCGCTTCCCTGTCTAGCATAGCCAGTTGAGTCCAGAACGCAAGTCTTAGCCTCTGAGATATGAATCATTGTATTTCAGACATACTCTATTTATATACCAGCCAAACAGACCACATCGTACCATAAAAATAGAAAACAACATTTGTACAATATTTAACGAATGAAATAAATAATGGCGAATAGGAAATGTCCATTTAACGTCCAAGGACATCACTAGACTTTACATGATAATTATTGGTACATTCCTCTGCATCCATAACACAAGCCGGAGACCTGAGTGCTCAGGTCAGGTGTCCAGTCGTTTGGGTGGCCGATGGGGAATTGTTGGTTACAGGTCAGATAACGGGGACCGTCTACTACAACTGTGCACAGACCACAACCTGTTTCTGCTTAGCACTAACTACCGGTAGTCATCGTCGATGTGTCATCTGGCGCCCTCCCTTTGTATCTCAAACCCGGACTCATATTGATCACATAGCGATCAGGTACCACTGGTTTGGTTGCGTACAAAACTGCATCTAATTTTAGAGAACCTATGTGGACTCTGATCATGTCCTTGTTTGCGCTAATCTTATCTTCCGTTTCAGTAGCTAACATGTTTATCATCCTAAACGGATGCATGTCAGCAAAGTGGTTTCAGCTTCTGTTGCAACTAAATATCAAACCGCGCTAGTTTTAAAGCTAGCAACCATCTCACCGAAAAGCAAAGATGAGTATTGGTTGCAGTTGCATGGCGCCATGAAAATGGAGAGTAAAATCGCTTGCGGCTTCGCGAAAAGTCCCGCTTACAACTGCTCTGCTGTCCCGGCGACACCGATCAGATTGTATTGCCCTCCAAGGCCCGCGATGACTAATCCACCTAACAAGGCAGAAGATCATGGATCAATTAAAGTTAGACATTAGCGACGTTGAATGCCAGCTCAGTGGTCTACAGGTCAAGCGTTTGAGCGTGAGGTCAAAGGTCCTGGGCTTGAGTACGTAAATGGAAATTTTAGTCCCCTAATCAGTCGGCATTATATTCAAAAGCTTGTTTGGAAACTTTATTCTAATATTCCTGGAGAAATGATAAGATTTCATAACTGACTTCCAAAACTGAACATAAATAGAAATTATAGAATCTTCGTCCATTTAGAAACTTATCAACTTTAAAAACCTCTTACAGAATCAACATCATATAACTGACCATTTATTTCGTTGAAAACATATAATCAACTTGAATTATTATTTTTTGTACTTCAAAATACATATTACAAAAATGTAGTTGTGGCATATCGAATCGATGGAATGTCGCTAGCAGTGAAATACAGGACGATTATTCCATATTACTTGAGAACCATCAGCTGGATATACCTTCATTCTAGAATTGATATTTACTCCAGGATTCGAACCCACTAACCGTTCAGTTAAAAATCCTAACACGTGGAAGGCAACCAATGATCACATGTATGCGAACTGCTGATGAATGCCACACTAGAATGAAATAGCAATTCAGTGCTTTCTGGCTTTTAATAGTTGTTTAACTACAAACTTCATGCATTAAAAAAAACGCCTTCTATTTTTGTTATGAATCAAAAACTGGATGGTTTATGGCGATCAAATTAAATGAAAAAGGGCATTCGATTAATATTTCATCTTAGCATGACGTCATATTACAATGCATCCTAGGTGAAATCAATGTAGAATCTGGAATAAATGTAAATTAATTCAAGCTACAACACCATCCCGATGCAAAAGGAAATGAATAAAGACAGTCAAAGTCGTCAGAATAATAATCACTCAGTCAGCTACAACTTAAGACCGGGCACATATGTGCATCGGTCCAACTTGCCACACCTCATTAGCAAAACAATGTGAGCACCAAATCCATAGTAGTTACTTCAATGGTAGTAATTTATAAAAGAAAGGTTGTGTATAAGGATATAGTATAGAAAGAAAGAATTAGTTCGTAGAAGGAAAGATATAAAGCAATTTTAATCTCACGGTTTAAAGGAAGACAAACAGTGTACACACTTACACCATTATGATCGATTCTCAGCCATTTCACGTACAGTCTCCAACCACTGATTATAATAGTCACGCGGAATCCAGCCAAGTAGTCTGCATCTCCCAACACGGCTCACACTAGAAGTTAGTGACTTCAAGCACTGATGACCCATTTTGGTTTGGCCACCTCTAATTTTCTTACAACCATCCCCCACGCTAGTCAGCATTGAGCGTCGTGGTAACCATTGTTCAGGTATACGTAACACGTGGCCCAACAATTTCAGTCCGTGAAGATTTACAACCTCATCAACTCATTTACCAACATTCCCTCACTACCACACATACGGTGATCCCAGTAGATGTGGGCAATATTTCTAAGACATCTGTGATCAAATATTAATAGCTTATGAATGTGTTCTACTCTTAATGGCCATGTTTCGCAGCCGTAAACTAGAACAGAACAAAATGCCGCACAGTATACTCATCCCTTAATTGATTGGAGAATAACAGTAGAAACGATGACAATTGCAAAGATTAAACATAAGAGAATACGAGGTTCATAAAAAAGAAAATCAATTCATAGCATGAAATAACAGTGACTATTCAAACAAACAAACAAACTAATGTCAACCATTGAATGAGAAAATATCTTAAAGATAAACATAGAATATTACAAATAGCCAACAGACTACCAATGGAAAGAACAAAGTTTAAGAGAATATATATGAAGACATAGAGTGTGTGACAAGGAAACTGTGATAAGCTATAAACTAATCATACCCCATACACATTCACATTCTTATATATACATACACTGAATACATACATGGAGATTTTACTAAAGTAGCTTGTTTTTCATTTCCCTGATCGGATAATCACTACAACAGCGGTAGTTCATATATATTCAATACTGTAAAAAGTAAAATGTAATGAATTTAGTGAATATGGCTTAATCATCAAAATGCAAATTATGATAAACAGTATACTACTTATGAAAAAAAGTAGTATATCACAAATACAGACATACATTGAAGGAAGAGAGGAAAAAATATTGTGGAGACACTTAAAAACAAAAAAAAAAGAAATAATAGTAACAACTGATATGTCATTGAAGATGGATAGTGGCTAGCAGTGGATCTGTGCATAAAAAGCTTGTGACTTTAGGCTTTATGGAGGCAATCCATACAGGATGCACATATATACCAACAAGGGACTGATTGATCAATTGCAGTCCTTGAAAACAATGGGATTATACACCAAGTGATATGTAATGGCTTTTTCCAGTAATAAATTCTACAAAACTTTATATATATCATAATTACCAGAATAGAATAAGCTATTAAGAATATTATATAGTAAGTGGTATTGTAGTGAATGAGAACACAAGTGGGGACAATCAAATCTAAGAACTATATAGTAAATACTTCTCTTGCAAAATGTCAATCAGTCGTCTTAAACTTGATTGTCCTTTCATTTCCACAACAATCATTCTTTGTCCTCATTCTCCTTACTTCGATCTTCTCAACAATTCTGTTACCAGATATTTCACTTCGATTGATGATACATACTACTGGTATCTATCGACATCAGTAACACATACCACAATATGAATTAGTGTATTGAATTTGGTAAAACATTATGTTGAATTCTAACATAGTGAACAAAACTAGATCAAATTCCAATTAGTCAATTGTGATAAAAAAAAACATTTTTATATCCCCTAGATAAGTTTATTCAGACTATTGTTATAACACGAAGAGTGACGGGTAGATATTTTGTTCCAGTGAGGATGTTTCATCAGTGTGCACTAACAACTATTATGGGGCAGTATCGGGGGGTGGGGTGGAGAGAGTATTGACATTTATAAACAAAAGAATAGACAATATCCACAACAACGCTTATCTCAATATATATTTATATCAAATCAAAATCATTACCATTGAGTTCCATTCCAGGACAATTAGAAATCATAGCTTACAGATATTTGGAACTAACAGTTTACATAATCAAATTCATTCAATCCATGAGTATATGACAAAAATCTTGTTCAGTCAATCAGACAGTAACAACATAGAACTTCGTACGTACGTACATCAGTTCGAGTTGTGACATCACATTAGCACAGAGATGCAGTTTGCAATT